TTGCAGAGTTACAGTGGCTTTAATAAATACATCCATGTTGACACACACCCATAAATATACATCCCTTCAGTTTCACTGCATGCAGGGCTCCTTCATAGCACTGCCTGCAGTCCTTAAGGAAAAGTAATTTGCTTTTCTGAAGGAAATTCGGAAACTAAGTCCATAACTGCCCTGAGGAAAATGCAGTAGCTGTCTCTCAGCAAACTTTATGCAAGTTTTCTCTTAAATAAGTGCCATTAGAAGTCCTCACTCAGCACTTCTTTTACAAATAATTCTTAAAAAGTAAAACTGCCCCTATGGCACAATGATTTCTAGACTGTTTTCTCTGCTTTTCTTTCCTCCCCCACATTCAATATATAAGCAAGATAAATTGCTACAGAACCTGCAGCTCCTTCTACAGCACTAGAGAGCAGTAGATTTAACAGCAAAGCCAAAAGAAGTCTCAAAATGTGTGATCCCCAATTTATCTTCTGTTCCCATCCCAGCCCCAATGAAGACATAGTGAGTCTGCCAACCCTGGGAGTAATGCAATAACTCTCGGTACAAAAACTTGTAAACTAACAAGAACACTGAGAAATGTGACTCTTCACAGCCTCAATGGTCTTTTATGAACAATAAAGATCTTAATAACAAGCTGTGCAAATAATAAAGTCTCTTATGTTTGTGATTTGTGAGAGACCAGCAAATCACAGGAGGTCCAGAAAGGTTTCAGGTGCTTTGATGAGCAGGCTGGCAGTTCTGCCCCTTCCCCATGGACAAGAACAGAACCATATTTACAAACAGGCTTGAGCATATTTCTGCCAAAGCACTGATGGGAAGTAGGGGGGTTATTTGTGCTCAGGTTTTGCATTTCAGACAGGAACACACTGCTCTGCCTGGACTGAACTAATTAAGGGCTAATTGACTGTCTAGCACCTATAAAGAGATAATTCACCCACGCCATCTCCCACTGGAAACTGCAATGACTATAGGCATAGAAAGGATTGTTTATTTAGTGGTCAGCATAAGACACACATAAGTATTTGTTAGTAAGAGCAGAAAGAGGGCAGATGAGGATATGGATGTTTCTAATGGATGATTAAATCTGGGGAGCTTGATCTCCCTTCATGCTGTGGATGTTGTGTGCTGCAGTCACGCCTCTCGCTGCCAGCCTGCACTGGGATGATAATCACTCACTATGAAAACTCATTAGCTCCACAGCAATGAGCCCTCCACTGCTGAAGCTTGGTGCTGTTCTTAGTACCATGGCAATGATCTCTAACTGGATGTCCCAAACTCTCCCTTCTCTGGTAGGACTAAATACCACCAGAATAACCACTTCAGATACTCTAGTAAGTAGCTGTTATATGTTGCAAGCTATCTTAATGCTGAATTTGTATTTAGGTGCCAGCAAAAGTGTTAGTTTGTTGCCTCTTTGTAAATCTCTTTTTTGGTTACTAATCTTTTTTCATCTCTTAATGCATGCTACTTTTTGGGCATCATAAAACTGCACATTGGTGAGCATGTTGTGGTCTTACTATGAAAGGGAAGGTTTCAAAATAGTATCCTTAAATATGTAAGAACAAATGCCTTCATCTTGAGCATGAAATGCTAAAAAGAGTACAGCAATGTCTTTTCACTTGTCTAGACTGTTCTTCCTATCTTTACTGCTCCAGAAAAATGCATTTTGTTGTTTAGAATATTAGATCTGGCAGTAGGTTTCTTTTTGAAAATTGGATAATGTTACCTAGTAACTATTCACTATAATATAAAAAGGGTCGGATTCCTTCCTATTTTTCTTTATTGGAATACAGTTAAACAAATAAATAGCTGTTAGAAACAAGATAAAATTGGTACTAGGAGGTTAGATACCAGAATTCTTGAAAGGCTGCTAATGGGAATAATACAAATGACAGAAATATCACTTTATATCATTGATGCTCATATACAGCAGCCTCAGTTAATAAAAACCTCCAGGAAAGCTGTGAATAGCTATGAACTCATGAGAACCCTAAAAAGTCAAGTAACTTTTTACTTTAGAGGGAACACTATCCTGGTATTCATACATTAAATTAGAACATAATTTTCCTAAATGTTTAGTAAAACACTCTTGTCTATGTTTCTTTTTGTGTAACTGCAATCAGATGTTTATATAATAGTAGGTTATGTAAAATATAAATGTAACTATTTGTATAGCAGTTCACAATTCTCAAAACTCAGAATTTTGTAACTAACACTTATGCATTTACTAACCAAAATGGAATAATTGAATATATGCATGCAGGAAAAATATTACTGCAGAAAATCACTGTATTTAGTCTATAAATATTAATACTTCAAAATTAAATATGTTGTAAGAAAATTTCTGTTATCTTTTAGAGCAGCAAGCTGAGAATACAAAGAAAAGCTCTATTTTCCTTAAACGTAATTTCATTTCACTGAGTCACAATATATACTGCTAGTTCTTGTGGCTGTATAAGTAGAAGTTCCCTATCACATTTACATCCAAGTTTAAAGTTACCACTGTGTAACTATAAGAGGCACATTAGTTATTATGAGCTATAAATATTGATACATACATATATATACACACACACAAATATATATTTGTACTGATTTGTTCAGATTGCAAGTAGCACAAAACTGTCATGTTCCCCTTGGCTACAACAGGGCACTGCTGATAGAAATGCCTTTGAAATATTAAGAATGCCTTTAAGAATGCTCTTTTCACTCCTTGAGTTGAGCTATATGCATATTTTTTGTTTTGATAAGGGTAGCAAGAGTGCCAGTAGAGCTGGGAAAGTGATGATAAAAACTTGATTATCTGAGCTTGGCAACATCTGCCAAATTAAAAAAAAACATGAACTACAATCATGTAGGGTTCTTTTTACACAAAACCAAGCCCCACAAATCTGGTACCTTTCTTAAAACCATAGATGTTGGCTGAAAGAATTTATGCCCCAAGTGCTCAGTAATACCAGAGTCATCACTGACTGATTTTTGGCTGCCATCCAGAGTTCCCCACCTGCAGCTTCTCCAGTGAACTCTGCAGTATGAGCACTTCTCCAGAATTTCTCTCCCAGCACATACACAGCTCATAAATTGTGTATATTGTACAATGTAAAAAAAGGACAAAACCTTCCAATTTCCTGCCTTCAGCTGGAAGAATTGTACAAGGATGTGGGGTCAGGTAAAGGGCCTCCTCTTTTGAGCCCTGTTACAGTACCAGGGTTGAAATTGCAAGACAAACCAGAAAATACTGTTTAAGCAAGCATCCTAAGGTACTACCCTTTCACTGTTCACCATAGTAACAATAGAGGCAGCTGTAACAGTTCTATTAGAATATATGAAAGTGCAAGTGAAAAAATAAATCTTTTAGAAGTGAACCAAGTCATTAATACAGCAGCCTGCCATGGCAGTGGTTAATATTGGACTTTATAGGGACTCCTCTGTTTTCCCCAGAATTTCAAGAACTAGTAAAAGTTACTATTGTTGTTTTCTCTTGTTATTTCTTTTCTTTCTTGTTTACTAAGGCCTGTCAGCAGTAAGCCTACGTTTGAAAAGTTGATGCAGTAGATTCTGTAAGGTTTTGATGACTTTTAGCTCTTTTTTGCATAGCAGTTGCTGCTTGAAGGGATTAAATGTCAAACTAAAACAATGTGGACCTTTGCACACAGGCATGTTTTTGTTTGCCATCACTCATATTACCCATCCTAATTAATGAAGGAAGCCTAAATTTCCAAAGAGAGGAAAGAACAGAAAAAAATCATAGGACTGTAGCCAAAACTGTAGATGGCTACTGCCTCTTCAATTACTTCTTCAGAGGAGTCAGTCCACAGAGGTATTGGCATCTCTTCAGAGATAAGGAATTCTGCAACTCCTGCACTAAGCTGCCAGGAAAGCATCAGTATCAAAGCTTCCCAGTTTAAATAATCACTTTCTCTGCTGGCACCGAGTACAATTGTATAATATAAATAGCAACTGATTCCAACTGTGTCCAGACCAAAATTACTTCAATGATATCCATTAGCATCTGTACCATGAAATTCATCACTCAGTACAATATTAGGAAAGAATAAAGCACAATGTTAACTGTAATTTACAGTTTAAAAAGAAAGTTCAAAAACCGTTTCTTGTATCTATTAAGTTCCATCACCTGAATGCTTTCAATCATCTCGTTATATTGTTTTCTGTCATTCCTACACTATTTCTGTACATCCCATTAAAGAGATACTGAATCCCACACAAACATTAAATGCAGTTCAGTTACCCTGCTCTGCAAACAAATGTAATTTTTTTTTTTTTTTTGCCTTTCTTTCTCAGTCATGGTTGCTGTAAAAACGAACAGGTTAGGAATTCCCAGTTTTCTGCTGTCCCAGTGAAGGACATGAAGTGTCTTAAATCACCCAGTGGCTCGCTTGCCATGAGCCCCATTCCCCTGGCCCAACCAGACACTTTTCCATCCCACCCTGAGCAAGCCCCTGTTCCCTTGGGTAAATGCAGTGGGAGCCTGGGGAGCAGTTCCTGTGAGGTGCAGCTTCCAGAGCAAACCTGTCCCCCACTCCAAAGTGCTGCTGAGCCAATTCCTGCCCATGAGTCACACACTGTGCTCTCCCCAGGCTCATACGTTTGTTCTTTCCTGTCTTTGTTGTTCCCATTAGCCTAAAGTAAAAGTCATCCAGGCTGAAAGGACGTGTTTGTTCTCTGCTGATGAAAAACTCTAATGTCCCTTTGCAGAGAATTAAATCACCTGGTTTGTGCTGAATCACAAGCATAGTACCATTCTCATCCACCCTGGAAACTGTGTGTGCTAAACTCCTCTAGAGAGCTGTTACAAAGGTGTGAGATATGGCAAAACTGGGAAACTACCCAGCTAATTAGTGAAGATTAATAATTGTTGGCTAGTAGGAACCTCATTGCAGACATGTACTGCAAAAATAAAAATACCCTGCTGCAGTGCTTGTTTCAAACAATAAAAAATCAGTTCAGTTCCTTTGATTGTTATTATTTTGTTGTTACAGACTCAGATTAGCCCCAAGGAAGGGTGGCAAGTTTATAGTTCAGCCCAGGATCCTGATGGCCGTTGCATTTGCACTGTTGTTGCACCTGAACAAAACCTATGTTCGAGAGATGCCAAAAGCAGGCAGCTCAGACAACTGCTAGAGAAGGTAAGTCTTCCCAAAAAATTCCTCCTTTTGGTCATTAAACTTCCCATGGAAAACTACTGTTTTCCTTCTCAGTTCATCCATCATGAACTAATGAAGAGTTACCTGATAAAAATTGTTATTCAGGGTATATCCCCTATCCGTGTTCTCATCTCTGATTATTACCTATTTTCCTTACATCACACCTTTCCCAACCCAAGCTTCATCTCCTCTCTTAGTCACTCCTCCCAAATTCTTTTTTACATACAACAGGACAGATTTTTCTGTGTAAAATCAGATTTGTAAGCTAGCTCAGGGATTTAAACTACAGCTTCTGCTTTGATCATATGAGCCTGCTGAAGGTCATTTCTCATCTCTTATCAAAAAATAATGAGAGAGACACCACAGCATCTTGAAAGCAAACTGCAGAGCATAAACAGTTCTAATTTTTTCATTGTTTCTTTTTCTCAAGTTTATTTATTCATTTTCTGATGGTGCAAATTTTCCCCAACAGCCCAATTCTTAATTCCAGTATTATCCACTATTGCACATATGGTGAAACCAATTAAGTCTTGTTTTGCATCAACAGAAAAAAATGTTACAACTATGAAAAACACTCTGCATTTCCTGTATAAGTAATCAAGATTATAGTTACTGTATGGCAGCCAGTGGTGCAGAACCTGAGGCCCAAGAGTGTTTGAACAGCAGCAAAAACCAACATAAAATGTAGACTTTAAAATACATTTTTAGTGCACAGTTTTTAGTATTTTTCTAGCTATAAAAAAACATTTCCAGTGTTAATGTAGTGCCAGATCCCCATAGATTTTTGCTCTTTGTGTTTCCATGAACTTCAGAAGGGACAAAGTTTCAAGTTGACAGAGCCCATAACATGAGATGCATGGAGAGGACATTGATGGACCAACAGAGAAAAAAGGAGCTGCCTCCCCTCATGGTCTGTTTACTGAAGAAAGGAGCACTCCAGTCTATGCTCCAGCATATTCCCCAAATACTCAAATATTACTAAAAAATATCCTTTGTTTTGAGGTTGGGGCTGGAGGGGTGTGATAAGATCACAACATAGTTTTTGAGCTGCCACAGAAATGAACCTAAATCATCAGCCTCTCAAAGCTATTTTCTTATGATTAGGACTGTGGCAATCATGGATATGTAATGTTGTATTACTACTTCCTGAGTCCATACAGTCCTTTAATTAGAGCCTTTATGTGGATGTGTCTTCTGCTAAATGGAAATTCTCAACGTTCCTCCAGCACCCAAAGGTGCTTTATTTGCCTGCTTTCAACAATTAGATAGCAAAAAAAAAAAAAAGCCTCTGCATTTTACATTACAAATCCTTTCTCAGAACTATTAGTAGCAACTGTACAATAACTAATGTATACTATTTTTAAGAGTAGTTTCTAAATCCACACATTCTGTAGATCATAAATTAGCTCCAAACATGGATATCACTTGAAATACAGCATATTCTTGCAGACCACAGGAGTACTGCTGGGTTTGTCATTCCTTAGGAAGGTACAAAATGTTTTGTTTGAGCCAAAACTTCAATAAGGTGCCTAATACATTTACAGCAGTCTAATCTTCTCATGTTTTAGAAAAACAAAACACTTGCTGAAATAGAATAGCTGCACTTGGAAAATGTGTTCTTTTTATGGCTGGCAAAAGCATTGCAGAAACTTTTAAAAGTATGTGTAATTTACTCTGGATGACAGTTACCATTGCATCACTATGGTAAAAGTCCTCACTATAGCTACAGAGTCACTTGATCTACAAAAGTAACCTAAATATTCACTACTTTTCATCTGGAAAAAAAAATTTGTAGTTTTCTACCACTGAGAAAATTGGATAAAATTTCTAATTTTACATTTACTTACAAAATTATGAGGAAACACCTCTGTGGTGATTGACACAGCCCCGCTTATCTCTGGGTGGTCTTCTGAATGCCTTATATTGAATGATTGTATAAATGCCTACTAACAAGTAAAGTCATGCTCCTCCTACTGACCAAAATCTCCAAATTTCAGTCCTGTCCCTCCCAAAGTGCCTGGAAGGAAATATATGCTATATGAGCACCTTCTGAACCAGTCACATCTGCTACAGGTCTCAAAGTAGACTCTATTGCCTGACAGACTTTCCTGAGCCCAATGAAAATTATGCTTAAGAGATCTCTCTCTCTCTTTACCTCTAAGTAGTCCAAAAAATTTTTGGCTTCAAGCCTTGCCCTGTTCCCCACTATTTGTCCCACCATGCAGTTACAGAATGTAGAGCTGTACTGTGGTAGAATGACTCACAACTAATTGACAGAAGTGCATTTCATTGCCTGACATTTAACCAGGGAAAAAAGCAAAGCAACAAAGGTGCATTTAGAAAGTGTTCTTCTTTAACAGGTTCAGAACATGTCCCAGTCTATTGAAGTTTTAAATCTACGGACTCAGAGGGATTTCCAGTATGTTTTAAAAATGGAGACACAAATGAAGGGGCTGAAGGCCAAGTTCCGGCAGATTGAAGACGATCGCAAGACGTTAATGACAAAGCACTTCCAGGTAGCTCCAGTTTTTACAGAAACTCCCAAACCTGCTGGAAACAATGTGCTAAGTGACAATGCATGGACTGCTAAGGTCTCAGCTGGAAATGCTCCTACAAGGGTGCCATTTAAAAGAAAAGCATAATAAATCTTCCTTTATGATGATAATCTTTTGCTCTGTTCAATTTAATTGTAATAGGGAGGAATTATTAAGTCAATAGAGAAATGTCACTATAAACAGATTCCTGTTCTTTCTGTATCAATATGCATGCCATGCTGAGAAATTTATATTCTTTTGAGCTCCAGTGCTAAAGGGGGAGATCCAGTGGAATTAATAGCAAACAAGTAGAGTTCTGTGCTCATAGTGTTCCATGACATTTACTGCAGTTGAAAGGAAGAAAGGCTATAATAAATCAGTTTATTGTAATTTTTATCCAGTACAATTAAGATCTAATTTCGTGTCTGAAGGTCTGCTGTTTTGAATTTGGGATGGGGAGGAGGGCAATCACTCCCAGTCACATTTGTGTGATTAAAAAAAAGACTTCCACTGAATTTTAATAACAAAAACCACAAGCCAATCCTTTTGTGAGAAGTAGGGTTGCAGATATTACAAGTAATATTGTGTATTCTGAAAAAGCTACCCGAAGTTCTATTCAGGAGAAAAATATTTCAATAGCATATTTAAATTCTTAAAATAAATTAATCTTTCAAGACTGTGAGAGCACAAAATAGGTGCTAGAAAATACATTCTGAGGATTACATTACGTTAAGTAAATATATATTTTTTGAAGTGTTTCTGAAAGTTCACATAAAATTAACCTGATTTTCCAATTGGTGCTAGAGTTAGATACCTAAATAATTACATAGCCAAGAGGTCCAAGTTTTTTTTTTTCAGAGCCACTGAACATTGAGTGGGTATTAATAACATCAAGAATTAAGTACACTAATGATCTACTTACCAAGCTTCATAAATTATATCATTGTTCTTAGTTTAGAGCTGTTTGAGCACATTCTCCCAGGTTTTTAGTTAATAGAAAATATCTTCACCTTTTTTCCCTTTTATCCCTTATTGCTACAATAACACATTTGCATAATTCCATTATATATTCTTTATTCTTATTTCAGTTTTACTAGGGAAAAAAATACCAAAATTAGAATGTCTGATACACAATATCAGAGGTCAGAGCACTCCAGTGCTCTAACCTTTTAAATATTCAATATTTCTATTGGCCAGTCATTTATCTTCATTTGACACTTTGCCAGGAGTATAAAACAGAGTTCCAGGCAATCCAGTTACAAAATCACTTTTAAAGTCAAAATAATACAATATGTTGTTCTGAAATTTGGTCTCCTCAAATTCCAGTGCTTTATCTTTCCTGAGACAAAGAAATTGTGTTGGATATAATATAACCTTTCATATCAACAGCCACAAAGTGCCAGAACACATCTACCAACTACCTGTGCTGCAATAGAAATTGGTTCTGGTACCGCTCATCACAGGAACAAGCTCTGGAGTGTCAGCAGAAGCCATTTTTTTAAATCTATTTATCATGAAAATATGAGAATCAACTTTATATGATTTACTGAAGTGAGATATTCTAAATCTGTGTTTTCATGCTGACCAGAACCAAGGAGCACAAATTTGGTCCAGATCACACTCAGTCTAAACTTTACTTTGTGCCAGGCAGGAGTTACCTGATTGCCACAAAAAGTTACAGCAAGTTTGCTCAAATATCATCTGGGATAAATCCTGCCAGGAATATATTACCTTCACTAATTCAAAAAGATTTTCTCTTCCTGAATTGGCCATTCACTGTCCCACAGAACTGAAGCCTAAGTTCATAATTTCAAAATTAAGTAACAAAACCTACGTTTTCTGGAGCTATTTTTTCTTTGTCACAAAGCCTACTACCCTTGTCATCAAGGAAAAAAATACTATTCATTTTAACAGGCATAAAGTGGGTTTAGGTTAAAATTTTATTAAAAATCTCCTGCTTACTACCATTAAGTCTGAGGTGTCTTGAGACTTTCACAGTAGACTAATAATAGATTTGTAACTAAAATAATCATTTTCAAGTTGGTTTAATAATCAGGCATAAATACTACAGTAAAGGAAATTAGGGGATTGAACTCCTTTAAACATCTCTAATGCACATATGATTGCCTTTAACAGGAGTTGAAAGAAAAGATGGATGAGCTTCTGCCACTGATCCCAGTTCTGGAACAATACAAAACTGATGCCAAGTTGATCACACAGTTCAAGGAGGAAATTAGGAATCTGTCTACTGTGCTCACTGGGATTCAGGAAGAAATTGGTGCTTATGACTATGAGGAACTACACCAGCGTGTAGTCAATTTAGAAACCAGGCTTCGTGACTGCATGAAAAAGCTCAGTAAGTTGACGAGTTCATGGCAAATTTGTCTTGGCTGTGCATTTTTAGTTGTCTCTCTTTAGAAAGATTAAGGTTTGGAGGGAGGGAGGATTTGTTTGTTTCTTTGATGAAAGACCGCGTTATATTCTGATCTGTGCTACCCTAAAAAAAGACAAGAGTAACAACCTAAGGTCAGTTATTCTAAGTACATGACATAATGTAATGCCTTACTGTATACAAAAGGAATTAGATGAAAAATCATAACAGATGGCAAATTCAAAATCTGAGTTTTAAACCACTTGGAGCGTTCCAAATATTCTTTCAAAAAAGACAGACACTGCTACAAGAGATATCTTTGGGCTGTCAGTGTGAAAAAAACTGAAAAGTAGAATGGAATGAGTTTTGAGATGTCCATATCATAACCCTGGCACCTTGCTGTGTCACCTGAGAGGCCACTCTGACTGTAATGTCTTTAGCCCGTAATATTACTATTAAGGAGATCTCCCATTCTGCAATTAGTGTTACAATCTAACCAAACTTCACATCTACTTAAAGAGATCAAAGCATGATTTCAGCAGGATGTACAGCAGCAATCCACTGCTACTGCTACACCAGGTTTACCTCAGGCCACCTCCACCTTGGCTGCTCCCTTGCTGCCTGTAGGAGTCAAACGAGCATTTTTGAAAATCAGCTCAGTATCAGCTAGCAAAACTAAGGGCCTGAAGGATCAATATCAAGTGTCAGCCTCAGCTTCCATCAGGGATAGGTAACTTGCTTTACAAACACAATGCAGTATTCCCTCTTCCCAGACTATCCATGCATTTGGAGATTTCTGAATGGATCACTAGTGCAACCTGGATAACTACAGCAAACAATCCAGCCCCTTGATGAAAAATAAGCACTTCACAATTTACTTAACACTAAACATGAATAAACTTGAAATTCTAAGGTTTAGGCCTGAGACACTGTGATCAGTGTCTCAGTTATCAAGTGTGGAATGTTTACTTTTAAATGCTACCCAGGACATTAAATATCTTGTTAAGTGGACAAGCAGAGCCTCCTTATTTTTGTGACGCAGTAGAATGAGAAAAATCTAGGTTAAGTTAGCTTCTTAAATAATTTATTTCTTTATTTTATTCTGGAAATAGCACAGTGGTGATGTGCTAAAATACATGAAAGACTTCTTCAAACAGAAATTTCTTATGATCCTATTTTCCCCTCAGTACACACACAAAATAGCACATTACTGCATTGACAGAAGGCAGTCAGGAGAAAACAGCTGTGTTGCAATACTGCAGCAAGCAAGAAAATTCCTGTGAATAAACAGTATTTTCTGATAGTGAGTGTTCCAGTAAGTTATTAGATACCAAAAATCATCAGTTTAACAAGTATCTTGTTTGGCTTTGCTTTTACAACATCTTGTAAGAACAGTTAGTGAAGCAATGAGTGTGAGATATATTTTTTACAATGGAATTATTAGGTGTATTGATATCCTATCTATCCTGAATTCCTGCAACACATTCTAATCTCTTGATGCTTCTAATGAAAAAAAACCATTAAAATTATGTACATTAGCAGTAGAGATAAAGGTTTTGTATAAAATAAATTATTAAGCATACCCATTAACAAAAGGGAGTGGACCTTCTCAAGATGTAACACAGAATCATTCATCCTTATTGGCATTATTCCCTGGCCTCAGATGCTTAAATGACTTTTATGGTCCCCTACTAATGGACTGGCTGTGTTTCTGGCCTATCCCTGTGTGGCTTTTGAAGCACAAGCAGCCTCAGTTTGGCTTCCTGTAACTGCTGAGAGCTGGGGCTGTGTGCTCAGATCAGAGAGCAGGAAGGGAAAGCAGCTTTCATGCCAGCACTGCTTTGTGGCCACACTGGCCATGCTGGAGATGACCCAGCTCTGCCTGTCCATGCCAGCCTGATAGCCAGAAGCCAATGGCCCCAGTGTGCCACAGGATCTGGCTTGAATCTTCACAGATTTTGTTGCATTTCACAATACAATTTTCTAATCAGTGTATGCAATAGCTACTCTCTATTCTTCTCCCCAGCAGGTGTTTTTCAGCAGTATAATGCATTATTTATATGGTCCTGGCCACTTAAAAGGGTTCTTCCATCTGCACTGGCAACATTTTCAGAACTGATTGCAGTACACTAAGCAGTTATCTTACTCTCACTGAGGTTTAATGGTTACCACAACAGTTGTGATGACTGAATTTTTCTCCTTCTCTTTGGAATAAGAGAAAAGTCAAGATGAAGCTGCTGGGAAATTAGTTGACAAAACTTTTAAAGGGTGCATGCAGCTAACCACGTAGGAATAGATTGCATGTGATTACACACACCCCAAATTCACATGTAATTATGCATGTATGGCTCCTTTGCTGATAGTCCTGTGAGTCATGGATATTTATAAGAAAATGCAGGTTGCACAGGATGCTTGGAACCTTCCTATTCTTGTCATGACATGTTTATGAAGTTGGGATAAAACTTACAGGGGGTAGCATTCATAGAAGCCAATACTCTGACATAGAGTAGATATATATTGGATTAAGGTCCAACTGCATCTGATTATAAGGTAGACTCTGAACAATACAGTGACATTTTTTGTTAAAAATTCAAAAGTAGAATATCCTATGTATCCAAAGTTCTGTTACATCAGTGGCAGAGGAGCTATTAGTGCAGGCATGAGACTATTGATTGCAGTGGTACTTGTACTTCCAAAGAATCCTTCCCTTTGGAATTTGAAGAACTTTACAAATATCATTTAGTATAAAAGTGGACAATAGAGAAATAGATTCTTATTGCTATTTTGTAGATGAAGGAACAAGCAGCCCAAAAGTACAAATAGATTTTCCAAATATTACAGAGCAAGTCATGGCACTTATGCAGCAAAATCCAGGAATTTCCTCTCAAAAAACTCTAATAACTATATTATAGTGCTTCCTGGATTCATATTATGCAGGAAAATATACATACATTCATTAAGAACTAATTCTTCATTCACTCATGTTATGACAAATTTGACCATAAGCAGAAAAGTGCAAGCAGTAAAACATTTGGAATGCATTTGTGCAAGTGCCAAAAAAAAAAAAACCTCACTTCATTTTCCTTGATTTATTACCTACCAAAAACAAAACAAAACAAAAACCATAATGATGCTTATGGACACTTCAAGACAATGTTATGGTTTTATTTCCCTTGCCTTCTACAAATGATCCATTCAGTTGCTCTATATGGCAGCTCCCAATATTCAGTCACATCACAGAGAATGGGACTATCCACCCATTTTTAGCTATTCCAGAACAGCTTCTCTCCAGCTGCACTGTCACAGCCTCCTCCTGGTACTTGATCACTCTGGAGCTTTCCAGACACATTCTGCCTCATGTACTTTCCCAGCATACAAACTGTACAAAAGTGCATCTATTTTCTTTTCTAATGGTCACTTCATGCTCAGCTTCTTCCTTAATATAAATAAATACTGGGAATCATGGACAGACTTACAAGAGTCCATTGCACAGAATTGTTGCAGGAGAGGAATCAAGCCAGAAATACCTGGATTCTGCATATGATATTTCCTGTACAGCTCAGTTTAGGATCTAAAAGGACTCTATGATTGGAATTTTCCAACTACTACAATCAATTATGGCTGGAACTTGCTAATGTAGGGCAGCTGCTTCTTTCAAAGCCAAGGAAAAGAGACTGAGGGCTTCTAAAAATCCCACTGCTTTTCTGTGTATCCCCATTTGAACCTCTTAGGGAAAGAAGAAAAAGAAAACCTAGAAGTATCACACTTTTCTTAGAGTTACTGAACTTCTTCACAGGTGCTAGTATGGAGATATATTTGACCTAACTTTTTACTAGCATCTGGTCCTATCAGGGAATCAAACTGCTATAAACCAAAACTTTTGGTATGTTCCCTTCTGCCAGGGGAAAAAAAAAAGGCAGATCTATGGATCTAATCATCTGTTTAATGAGGAAGGAAAAGAAAAATGGGACCTACTATAGGGCAGGAGGGAAAAAAGTCTCCATGCTTCTTACAAAGTGCTCTGTTCTGTCATGCCAAAAAGGGAAGCTTTGTCACTTTTTCAGTCAGCTGCCCCCCAGCTATACAGCAGCTCTCCTAGGAGTCTTCCTTTCTTGATCACTGCATGCTGTCTGGGAATAAGGATTTGATCAGAAATACACCCTGACTCAAACTGCTGATCATTTAGCTGCTGAACTACGTCATCTCTCCACATTGAACAGCATCTCAATACATTTTGAAAGATTATTCTCTAAAAGCATCTAACTCCTGTGACAGGGGTACACAGCTCTATTCATATAGTTTTAACTAAGTGAAGGCTGAAGAGGTTCATTAATTATTAACAATGTGTAACTAACTCTTAATCAGCAAGCTACACATTCAGGATAAATACAATACAACAGAGGAACCACTGTACTGACACTTAGGCATACAAATCTCTGAATTGCTCTCTAACCTCCAAAAGCTCCTCACACGCAGAGCAGCACCCAAACAGCCCCAGAGCTGTGTGCACCCCCCACAGGGGCTGCAAACACCCCCTGCTTTTACCCCTGTCCCACTGCAGCTCCAGGGCCCGGAGCTTGCTGCGCGCCCATGCTGCTCCCACCGTGGCCGGGCACTGCTGAGCCCAGCTGGAGTGTCCATGCACCTGCCCTGCCCGGGCCCCTGACACAAAGGGTGCCTCAGGGAGCCCCCACATCTCTGCCAGGGGCTCTTCCATAGGTTTTCCCCATTCAGAAGCAAAACTTCATAACTCATTATGAATCCACTTTTAGTTGCCTAGATTTCTTTTTTTATAGAAGAAACAGCGCTTCAGATTCCAAATTCTTTTTATTCTTTCCACTAGTTGCAATACTGTGTTGTAAAGGCACCAATTACTATTACTATACCTTATAACTGATGCATTCACTGTGTTTTAATTATCCTAGAAACTACAAGTTCAGGAGTAATTGTTATTCTGATTTCTTTCTGTTTATTAGTTTTCTGATAACTCATTCCAAATTAGTATTCAAAATTCAAACTCAAACCTTCAGAAGGGTTATCTCATGCCCATTTCTGAGACTATTTACCAACAGACCACCTAAAAATAAAAGCCTTCACCTTGATAGGTTATAGTCTTCTACCTTTCAAGCTAATAGCAGTTTATGCTGCAGAAACAATGCTAGCAGCCTACCTACTTAAAAATCCAGAATAAAAAGTTATGTCCTATCATAACCAAGTATTAAAAACCCTATAAGATTCTTTAAAAAGGGAAATTCCAAAAATATCTTCAAAATACTGCAACCTAAATAGATTGACATATGTCTCTTAACAATGTCTCTTAATTGACCCAGAAAACAGACACAGCCTACCCTGCTCATTGAGGTCTCAGCATGCATTCAGTTATCTTCATTTCTGATATGTCCAACTTCCCTGGCTGTGAGCAAAAACTACCCATCAGCCTCTGGGTTTTCACCACAGCATTAACCCCATTCTAAGTGACCCAAATAGGCTGGCATGATACATTCCTTTCCAGTTACGAGTGTAAAATTCAGGCTTGATGTGACCCTCTCTTTGGAGCCAAATAAATTCCATCTCAACACCAGATACCGTTTGTTTCTACATTTCCTAGATAGATATGGTTATCAGTATAGCACAACCATGTAGCACAGAGAAGCACTTACTTTTAAATTTTAAAAATTGTTTCACTTCTTTTTACATTCTTTACTTTAAAAATGTGCTATTCAACCTAATTGCATGCACACCACTGTGTGATATTACATTTTGGTAAACACATGAATTTCTCCAGAAGCTTGTTACTAAGAGGTATCTTATTAAGGTCCCCTAAAATACAGATTTTTGAGTTGTTCGGAAGGTCAGCATCTGAGATGGTATCGACTTTCATTATTTCCTCGCAGGCAGCCAAATAGATTAGAAGCCAACCAATACAGCCAAGCTTGCTAAATAATTCTCATACTCACTTTCTTCAGGCAGCCTCCAGTAAAGAAAGAGCCATGTGTGTGTAAGCAGGGGGCAGTCGGGCACAAGCTTAGAGTACAGCAGTGTTGTGGGTACAAGCTCATTTGTCTGGCTGCCTTTCACCACCTTGTTACCCTGGCCAATGGAAAACTGAAACATCCATCAATCCCAGCTTTGTGCTCAACTTTCTGAGGGCAAAAGGCAGGGGAGGGATTATGTCTTGATTTCAATTATTATTAAATGTTCTTCACTTCAGCTCAGAAGATATTTTACTGGTTGTATTTTAGCTTATGCCCAAAGACCATAACTGTGCTTGGATGTAAGACGTAAATACAAAATGTAAATTACAAAGATGTAAATACAAAAATACATACTAATAAAATTTTATGTGCATATTTTTGCATATTTATATTACTTTTCAATATGGTAAAGTTCCCCCTGTGAAGGTGACAATCAATCTTCAACATAAGCCTGAATCCCCTGGGGCCACTGTGTAGTTTGCAGCATTTGGTCTTGTGCTCTGACATCAAGGAGAGTTGTGCATTAATGCATTTGTTTTTTTTATTTCAGCATGTGGCAAATTGATGAAAATTACAGGCCCCATTACAGTGAAGATCTCTGGAACCCGATTTGGAGCCTGGATGACAGATCCACTGGCATCAGAGAAGAATAACCGAGTATGTTAAGGCACTATCTTTGTGTCCTGGAGTCTTACTTGCTTTGTTTTAGTCTTTTAAAAGATATTTTGCCCTAGGACCTTACATTCCTAAGCACGTTTTTCTACTTCAGTCATTTTCACACTCCAACATATCCAGAGAAAAAGCAACCGTATTTTTGGAAAAATATCCAAATACAAAAGTTATCTAAGCACTTTTGTGCCATTTACTTCAACTTTTTCAGGGTTGACAATCATCTATCAGAACTGACAACCCAATTTTTTTTGTATTTCCTAATGTATTTAATTGCACTTAGATCTTTTAAAAACCAGAGTAATCTAAAACAAACATCAACATTTTAATGCAAGAGCAGGACCCATAATACAGCACAGCTAAAATTTGCAGGATTCAGCCCCATATAGGCTCTGGTCAGATCATTTGCTCTATCGTATCCAAGTTATGTTATTGTTTTGTTATTTGGATCTCCAATAGGATCTCAAATTGGCTACAGTTTTGAGAAGATGCTCTCTTCATCAAAGACCTTTGGAAGTCAAAACTCTAGGTTTCCTTTGTGTGAAACCCACGAGATTAATTTTTTGAATACTGAAAAAAAACTGAAGGCAACAGAAAAGGCAACAGAAAAATGACAATAAATAAAGATTTGTGTTCAGTTTTCCCCTGCCCACTGTGTCCATGCATGTTTGCTCCTGAGTCCAGAAATCCCAATTACCTTTAGAGAGCATCAAACTCTGAGAAATTAAAGGAGAAAAAGCAAATGGCATGAAGGAATAAAATGGGGGAATAGAAGTTGCATAAAGAACATTAAAAAAAAGTAACAATTCTGTTTTAAGGGAGAAAAGGGCTTTGAAACTTTACTGGTTTCATTACTATTGTTTTTTTTCCTTTCCTAAGAAAATACTTTTTTTCTTTGAATAGAGAATCAGCTGAAAAAAATTTACCTACATTTATTCCTAAGTATAAATTCAAGTTTATCTCACATGCCATTTCCCACCTCTCTCTTAGATTATTAGTGTCTAGAAATACCTTTAAGCAAGCACAATATAGCAGAAGCCCAAACACTGAATAACCCAGAATTAAATTTCTCTGAAAATGCAGACACTGTAGTTAGTAACAGTTGTTTTGAGAGTTGACCTGTACAGATAAGTTTGACTCAGAAATTCAAGAGTTCCTCCTGCTTTTGTAACAGGAACACTGGCAATATTGCACCTTTGTAGCTTGCTGCACAGCTAAAACTTGTTTTCCTTCTTTTTCTGCAAGGTCTTTGTGTAATGGTTTTGGTTTGCCAATTTAAGATTTCCCCAATTTTAAGATTTCCTGGCCAACGCACCAAAGAGTGTGGCAGGTTTCAGTGCTGGCCAATCGCTCATGCACTCACTTCCTGCTGTGAGATAGGATTAGGAGAAAGGCAAAGCAGGCTCTAAACTTTAAAAGGGTAAAAAGAAAATGTTATCAACAGTAACTAAAAGGAAAAAAAAGTAGTAGGAATCAAAGCAAACCCTTCAGAACACTTCTCCTCACCCCACAACCTTTTCTTTCCCACTGACAATGTAAAGAAACAAAACCTAAAATTCCCAGTCAGTTTACCATCTCTAAAATAGTCTTTCTTCAGTTCACTTAGGGAGAGAAGTCCCTCTTGTTAATGTTATGGAGACTTCTCCAGAAGAGAAAAACACATTGACACCAAACCATGACACTCCCCAATGCCATATCATGATCACCTACCACACACTATGTTTGAGATGGTCATTCCCAATCTTTGTTTCCTTTCCAGGTCTGGTACATGGATAGTTACACCAACAATAAAATCGTCCGTGAATACAAATCCATCGCAGACTTCGTCAGTGGGGCCGAATCAAGGACATACAACCTTCCATTCAAATGGGCAGGAACCAACCACGTTGTCTACAATGGCTCCCTCTATTTCAACAAGTACCAGAGCAACATCATCATCAAGTACAGCTTCGACACGGGGCGGGTGCTGGCGCAGCGTAGCCTGGAGTACGCTGGCTTCCACAATGTCTACCCTTACACCTGGGGTGGCTTCTCTGATATCGACCTGATGGCAGATGAAATTGGGCTGTGGGCTGTCTATGCCACCAACCAGAACGCAGGTAACATTGTCATCAGCCAGCTGAACCAGGATACGCTGGAGGTGCTGAAGAGCTGGAGCACGGGCTACCCAAAGAGGAGTGCTGGAGAATCCTTCATGATCTGTGGCACCTTGTATGTCACTAACTCACACTTAACAGGAGCCAAGGTCTACTACTCCTACTCCACAAAAACCTCCACTTATGAGTACACAGACATTCCTTTCCATAATCAGTATTTTCATATATCCATGCTTGACTACAATGCAAGAGATAGAGCTCTCTATGCCTGGAATAATGGACATCAAGTCCTGTTTAACGTCACCCTTTTCCACATCATTAAAACTGAGGATGACACATAATTTTATTTCCCTTACCCCTCCCTCCCTTCAAAGCAGTCTCATTTGTGATTAACTCTAAAAGCATCCATCTCTCTCAGTTCCTTTTAATTTACATTTCTTTCTTCATTAAACAAAAGCAACATTTTCTACTATGTAATGCATCTCAAATATGGCTGAATTTGTCAAAAATGACCTGTCAGAAATAAAAAGCATCTTAGCTCATGATTTTGCAAGGTCTGTCAAGACCTTGTCTTGAAAAGCACTAAAGAGGATTTAAATGGCTAAAGACAGTTTTTAAAAGATTATGATCTGCCTTATTTTAGAGTCAGAGACTAATGGTGGCTTAAATGCATGAATGTCTTTTTTTACCTCATTTTTTGTTTTAATATATTGCTTAACTTCAGGAAATATTTCAGTAGTGTCGGACACATATTGCACATTGTATTTTTTTATTTATTCCGAAAAACAGATTTAGTAGGAATTTAATTTTCTTAGACAAGGCATATGGTTCATTTTGCCATCATCCAATTTCAGATGTGGTGCTGTACAGTATGTTTTTAAATCTCTTGCAAACATTTTATCAACAGTATGTATTTCTACCATTGTAACCACCATTGTGCAATTGTATCTCTTCACTTATGTGAAAGTAAACTAAGTACTATTTTTTATAAAATATATTGAAGCTTAATTGCAGTTCTGGCTATGAGTCAATTGAATGTGGTAAAAATCTGATAAAAGGTTGTTATTTCTGAGAAAGACCAATAGCTTCTCAGATGCATGATTTATATTCTCAGCTTTGCTTCCTAATCCCCTGTTCACCAGTGCTGCTTACTGGCATATTTGCAACTTTGAAGCTTCCTACCAGTTCCAGCTTTACAATTATTTGCTCTGCCCAGTTTTTATCTCCTGCTGCTGGCTTCTCTCAGTCTTTTTCTCCTACTTTCTTCCCTTCCACCATTTGACTGCCCTTGTTTATAGTTATCCCTGCTGTGAACTTTACAAGCCAGAAGCTGGAAGGAGCTGGTGCCCACCAGCTGAGAGTGGGAGTGCATCCTGTGTTTGTGCTGCTCTGGGGCACTGAGGAGCAGTGGTAAAAGCAAAGCTGCTCTCCATCTGCCTGTCTTTTTATTCATAATAGGAGAACATTTATCTGTTGACAAAACTCTTCTCTGGGATGACAGTAATCACAGAAAATACAGCAGGGAAGGTGCAAAGCCCAGATGATCAGTGTGCCCCTGGTGTTCACCAAAATTCTTGTTAGGGAACAACATCGAGGCCAAGCTCTTGCAAAAAGGTTTGGGGTAGAAATTGCTGGTAGTAGAATTGCTACAGTAGAATTGCTACACCCAAACTGATGCCTTCAAGAAACAAATATTTCTGAAAACTGGGGGTTGCTGTAGTATCTCATTAGAAACTGGGGGGCAGGGAAAGGTGTGCATAATTGAGAAAAAAGGAATGAGGTGCTATGTATCTCTTTTGGCAAAAGTAGAAAGAAATTAAGCACTAGCAATCAGATTTTTTTAATAGCTCTAGCATAATGGTAAAAGACAGGTATCTGAAAAATTCTGTGAAGTCTGTGTTCCTCACACTATCTGAGCTTCTGTTTTTTATATCCTTTGAAATTGAAAAGCCAGATATTTTATTTGCTGGTTGTTCTAATGTACCAGCTGAGATCACCTAAAGTCTCATTAATGTTTTCATTCTTATAAACATATGTGTCTATACATGTTTACAAATATGCTTTATAATACAAGCCCATGTGAAACTGAACAAATTGCCTTATTTTTCATACCAGTTGCAAAACAAAAAAATGCTAATAAGTTTTCAAAAACTGATAAAGGAGGCAAAAAACCTGAAAAGCAAACAACTAATTACATTACAACATGACCAGAGAAAAGTTTCTTTCTTGCTCCCATCTCCACTCTCCTGTCTAGAGGAAATGGTAGCTATTATCCCATACAATCAGTTACACAGAATTTGGACAGACTCAGTTCAGCTAAAGAGACAAATTAAATCACTTCCCTCCTGTAACCAACTTTCCTGTATTGACAATGAAACCTCCTCTATGACATGTGAAAGTGTATATGACTATTCATTAAAAAAGGTATTTTGTGTTATACAGGAATGTTTTATGAAAATGGAGTATGTTCAGAGTTTTATCAAAAGCCATAAAACAAATCTCAACCTTTCCCCAGTACAGAATAATTTCAAGAAAATAGAAGTTTTTTTCAACCAGTATAGCATTTGTAAAAACATTAGTCATTAGATTGAGAAATTAAACTTCTTTCTACTCTATCATCATAAATTTGAAGAATAGTCACAATCACTTTATCTGAAAACAATGACTACTTCCATATCTCTTTATAAGTATTTCACACTGTGTAATTAGCATACATACAGTAGTACAGGTTGATAACAGTTCTTGAAGTAAGATTACTCTCACCTGATTTCAATACCATTTACAGGGTAATACACCTGTTAGTGAAAGAAAAGAAAAACACTACTACAGGGTGCTGGAGATGGATGGAAAAGAGGGTTTGGAAAAGCACCTTTGTAAGGTGGTTTGTCGAACCAAGATAAATCCTGCCTTCTAAATTAGTAACAACAGGTTGCATTCCAATATTTAAACATGAACTAACAGCTTCCGTACAATCAGTACAAAACATGGTGAGACATTATCAAGTAACACAGCTTTCTGCTAAGGAGGACTTGTTTTTTCTGTAAATGTGTTGATCACCTGTCTTTTCAAAATTGGAAATTACAAATAATATTCCCATAAGGCTGAAACCACTATGCCTCAATAGAAGCAGATTTCTATTATAACTGTTACAAGCTTTGCCTTCATAATTGGGCAGCACAAGCAGAAAATCTTCATAATGCAGAAGCAACCTACAAGTTTTATAGGTGAAATACACACTTTTTATTATCATAATGGGGTACCAGTAGTAGGTAAGGGGGGAAAAAAATTCCCTAAACATGAAGAATTTAATTGTAAAGTCTGTTTCAGTATCTTAATAACCTCCTGTTTCAAGGGATAAACATGTAAAAGGGCCATATCACTCCTTCACCCAAAACAGGATACCTAAATTCCACCAAGCTGTGCTGGCAGCAGAGAGCGATGCAGACAACCCCAAATCTACCCCAGGAACACAAATCTGCCAATCCTCCAGGCACCCTGGCCTGAGGGAGCCTAGGGAAGGTGAACAATGCACACCACAAAGGCCATAGCACTCTCCCTGGAATGGACTGACCACTGCCCAGGACAAAATGGGCACAGCAAACCTTCCCAGAGAAAGCTTCCTGCACAGCAATAATCTTCTGTGCTCCCTGCTGGCAGTTTGTGCCAGCCAGTAGCTCCAAGTCTGTTGCTCTGCAGGAAGGCTCTGCAGCCTGCCCTGTGTGTCACAGCGTGCCAAGAGACCCCTGGAAGGGTGGTGTGGAGCCTCCCCAGCACTGTAATCACTGCTAGCAAAAGATGGGATTCAATTTGAAAAATTTAAAGAAAATGGCTGAGTGAGATGGATTGATACAAGGTTTTAATCACAGATTTCTTATATCTAAGAATCCTCCTTTTCAGACAAGTCCAGGGGCACTAGCTGTCACTCAGCCCAGCAGCTGGATCCACAGCAAGGGCTGTTTGTTTCAAAGCACAGTCTCAACAAACCTGTTACCTGGTAATTTGTCATAATCAATTGCTTAGAAAATGCCAGAGTAGAGATGAACAAACCATTCACAGCAAATCACTCATCCAGTAAATTGTATCCTGTTCCAGTTCAAGAATTGCCAGGGACAGTCTTGATACATACTGATGTTTGTTCCAGAGAAAATATTTTTTGGAAATCATTTGAATAAGCACCTCTTCCTATAAATCAGCCAAGCATTCCCTGCTGTGAATCTTATACCCTTGACATGCAGAAGGCAATGCTGAGTATTTGGGCATCTTTTCCACAAAAGGCAAATGAGGGCTGCAGCTGCAGATCTTTGGGCAGAGCTGCATCACAGCCTGCTGTGCTGACAAGCTCCCCACACCACTGATTCCCAGGAGAGCAACTCCTGCACCATGACAGTGTCATAAATGCATTCCACAAGAGGCTCACACTCTAAAGGACTCAAGCATGCAAACTGCCTTCCACAGATCAAAAACCAAATCCTGAAATTCACTTCCCAACCAAGAATAGAGACCCCCCCCTTATTTCCAGAACTGAAAGCAAAGCCCGTTTTCTAAGCTGAACTTTCCTCAGTAATTCTCCATACACATGATCATATACATGGACATCAACATGCAAGCAAATAAATTAACTATAAAATAATCCTATAATTATAGAATAATGTTCTTTTTTCTACAGAAAAGACCATTTAGGTGATGCAAAGATCATTTTTATGAGGGTTTCTGTACTCACTTAATGGGAAACTGAGGAAAGAGAGTTACCTAGCACCAAGTTGTGGAAAGCATACAGAAATGACTGTTTTGTATAGCATGGCTTTTGCCTGGCCCTAGAGAACAGAGATTCTATATTGATACAGTAGTTATGACCACAGAGTCACTGAACTGAGGTGTGCAGTTTTCTCAAAACTGCAAGCACATCATCCTCCTGAATATTCTGCTGTTATAGTTAATTGCCATTCTTATAATCTGTGGACTCTGTAGACTTCTAGTTGTGGTCAATCAGAGTATTTAGTAAGCATTTCAAGATAATTTCTACAGGGCTACATCTCTCTCTTTTTCCTCAGAAGCCTCTCACACATGTAGCACACATTGTGTCAGGCCATGAGGGTCATGAACACAAGGGACACATCTTTTCAGCAGCTCTCATTACTCAGGAGGGATTATTCATAAATATAGATATTGATTTTGATTGGTATCAAAACTCCGTTTCTTCCAATACCACCTCTGGAGGGAATCCTCACTCTTAAAATACAAATCATTTTGATTGATTTAATATGAAGAGGAATTTCACCAGCTTTTCATAAAAACATCCAACCTCTTAAAGACCAAGGATATTTGTCTCTATGAAAATATAGACATGGAAGAAAATTCACATTTTCTTAAAATCAGAAATTTCTACTCAACTCACAGGCTTCTGGTCAGCTGAGCATCAGCAGAAGAGCCTGTGGACTTCTCCTGTATCTTCTCCTTCAGAACATTCAATTAATTACATTGCAGAAACATTTTAGCAGTCCAAGGGAAACAAAGCTTCCCCAGGATTTTGTTTCAAAAAACGGCAGAGTTTTAAACACAGGCCACTATAAATGAATACAATATTTACAGCAGCTGCATTCTGGCTCCACCTCTGCATCCACTGTACAGAAGTACCATTTTCCCTGGAAACTGTGTGACTGATAGACCAGGGCAGCACAGGAAAGTATATGAAGACACATGAAAATGACAGCTAACAGCTCAGATTTGACATCACAAAACATTACTTATTTTACTGTGCCTTTTGTACAGAAGTTTGAATTCCAATTTAGAATGTTCTTATAGTGAACATAAACAGGAAGAACCCACTGGGCCAGAAATACCCATTTTCCCCTCACATATTATCAGCTGCATGCACAAACAATTCCAGCTTATTTTTCTTTGTATTTTCTCTTCTTTTGTTGGCTCTAATCATCTTGATCTTCACTTGAATCTGCCCCAACCCCTCTCATCTTGTAGTATGTTTAATGAATGGCTGTTCAGATAGAACTCAAAGTGCATAGAAGATTTATGATACAGCAAGTTTCATCTGGAGAAGGTACAAATTTATTTTTCCAGTTTAGCTCCAGCATGCCCATAAAACTGCCTACAAGCAATACTGATTGTATATCATGGATTGCTCTACAGAAATAATTTAAATCAGATTCAAGATAACTTTCTTCCCTTTTATTTATTTTAAAGGAAATATTCTGTTACATATCTGCCATGGCAAGAAATTCATTCAAATTAAATTCATCATTATCCCCAGCAGGCTTAGACATCCATTTCTCCCTTCTGGATGACAGCCTCAAGGTGGTCAGCAGCACTTCCAACTGCAGGAAATCAGCTCTCACAGTAATTGAGTGTGCACGCTGTCAAAGGTCATTACACCTTTCGAGTTAAGCTCCAGGTCTGTGTCACATCATGCAAACAGGCCATTTGTTTAGGCTTCCCTCATCTCAATGAATCTGGTTTGCTGTCACCTTGAAGGACACCCCAGATGGATGGTGGCTGAGGCTGTCCCTGCCAGTGCAGCACAGGGACAGACAGGGGCCCTGGGGAGGTTCCTCATCACTGCGGCTCTGGCAGTCGCTCGTTCCTGGGGGAGAGCACACAGCACCTGCCATTCCTGCAGCAGCCATCTCCTCAGCACTGCAGGTTAGTTACAGACACTAATTTAGACCATTTCCCACTCTGTCAGGGAAGAAAGGACATTTGTACAAATCTCAGTGTTGAGGCTGAACACCTTGGACACAAGTGCTCAGCTTAAGCCCAGCAGGGCTTCATTGGCTCACCAGCAGCTGATGCTAGATTTTCAGTTCTCAAGTCAGTGTATCACTCATTAGCTCACTTCTGCTGAGACAAATATGTGTGTCCAAAAGTTCAGTTCCCATACTCTTACACTGACTTTTAATGCCATGCCTGTTTTGTTTTCAGCCTAGTAAGGAGACCTGTGTCCATTGGTAAAGGGGCTGGTTAATTCACAGTCATGCTATGCCTGCCACGGGTGAGCCCTTCCAGTAACTTCTGAGGAAAAAAATGTCACTTGATATGGAGTTACTTTGGTCCCTTTGGAGGAGTCCAAAGGCTGCTCCCACACCAGGCAGCATCAGGGATGGGCATTACCTTGGGCACAGAGCTCTGCCCATCCCTGGGCATCAGACCCACAGCGCAGCCCAGCCATGCTCAGGAGGAGCAGCAGGTCCCTACTCAAACACATTTTATGCTCTTACATCGCTGAACTAGCACTCCTCACAGCACAATTCTCATCAAAGTATTTACAAAAGCAGTGCTGCTCAGCAGGCCAAATGAGGGAGGAAAACATGACAATTTTTATATGCTTTGACACTTATTTGGGAGATTCACAGGCCTCATCCTGGCCCTGTGCCCAGGAATGAATTACACTCTAAAATACTAAATTGCACTCTTATGGCAAATGCTAA